TGAGTCTAATGTTAATCAATTAGATACTGAGAAATGTAAATATATGTTGTTTCTTATTGATATCACCAAGCAAAGCGGCGGACAGTTTTGTATTTTTAGAAGTAATGTACTTTATAAAAATAGTGAATTTGAAAGACGGACAATTTCTGTTGCTCAATAATCCATACCAAAATGGGATGATGTTACTCTTGCATGGCCAAGAGAACTGCAGAAAAATTGCAAGACTCTTAAGACATCGGATCCAACTGGAGTCTCCAGTTGCTGTCTACACTTTATTTTTAAAACTGCATTAGTTTTAAAATAAATAGCAGTGATGATGTTCTAATTAAAGGAGAGTCTTTTTAGATATCGACGAGTGTGCTACAGGAAAAGCCAACTGCAGTGCTGATGCTGTGTGCAACAATACTAAGGGATCGTACAACTGTGCATGCGAAAAAGGATACTATGGAGATGGAAATATCTGCCGTTTGGGTAACATTTCTCCTGCTGTATTTTTTAAGCTAGTTTTTGTACTGTTTCTGTCTGTTTAGACTACTGCAACGAGAAGTTCGTTTATAATAATTATGTATATCGAGATATAGATATATAGTAAATCGATAAAAACTTCGATAAACGCCTAGTTAGATATTATTGAGAATTCAAACTAAAAACAAGCTAACTTATTGATGGACGTGAAAATGCTTGCCTGCGTAGATAGCAGTCTCATGGTGTGTATTTAAAGCGTCGAGCGGCTTGAGTAAAAACGGCGAGGCTGCGAGGGGGTTTGGGATGCTGCTTAAATTCGCGGCTCCGCTGCTTTTATTCTTATCTAGCGCATTAGACACCGCTAACAATGCAAGTTACGAAAACACTAGTGACCAAGAACGTTATGTATTTCCTATTCCACATGTCAATTTTCTCTTTGAGACCATTTTAAACCTCCATCCCATCTTTTTTTTTTAAAGGGTTTATTGCTGTTGATATGCCTTTCCTTTTTTTCAGCTTCGACGTGTAAGGAAATTTTCGACCGGAATGTGTAAGTCAATTATTCACTAAGAACAAAGCTAGCGCGGAATTTAATGAGAGAATATGAAAATAACAGTAGTACTAATAATGATAATTCTGAAACTGATACTGCGCTAAGCATAGCAACCTTGATAATAAACTTGCACACTAGCTTCCATCTTGAAAGCTTTCGCCTCATCGAAAAGAACTTTGTGTCATTTACTAAATATATGGAAGCCATGGCCCTCATCAAGTTTCAACTGAATATCTCTATTTAGGAAGATTCTTTATTTAGTAGATCGAAAAAGAGTGGCGAGGTTACCCTGCACTTAGACTCAAAGCCAATGTCTGTTTTCTCTCACACGGGAGACTTTGGATGCGGAAATGAAGGACGGACGGCGATCATGAAGACTAATCGCAATAAGGTAACAATTTATCTGCGAATGAATTCACTGTTGATACAAGACCGTGGAGATAAACCACAAAGGGGATTAGCAAAATCTGCGGCTGTTTCCCTGAAAAACGTCAACGGTCGTCAAGAGTCGCTGACCTTTCAGGTTTGAGTTGCTTCTGCATCCGCTCCTCTATGACAGTATACGTAATGGCGTCATCCTTTAGCTGCATTGGGGCCACTAAATTCTTCGCAAGCTGGTAATTTTCTGCTGAAAGATTTGTTCAAAGTACGGCCTTCTTCGTTTTAGCCTCCGCGATTCCATTTACGGGAAAATAAAAACCCAACTGTTCGGTGCATAACTCCCAGTCCCTTCCCACCATCTACTTTGTCACTTTCCGATGGCTTGACTCGTGTTGACGTTCGACGCTTCCTTCGGCATTTCCTGTCGTGTCTTCGTCAACTTCAGACGTGATTCGTGTTTACTGCTTGTGCTTGGCCAAAAAAAGACCCCATCCACGTCGCCAGCTTTGATGTATTAGTCCAAGGTCCAGAAAACAAGACAATATTAGTGAGACAAGATCTGCCAAAAACTTCAACCACATGGTCAAATCCAAATATGGAAAACTGGTCGCGTGACATTGGGTATAGGGAAAAATCCAAACGGAAAGATTTACCAATTCTAGTATCAATGGACTTTTCTGGCTTGTAAACAAATATACCTCAAGAAGAAGGAACGAACATAGTATGTGAAGCATACGAAAAGTTCTACAACCATAATGCACCGATCCCAACGCACTACCTCAGGGAAATGTTTGGCTTAATACTTAGAGAAAATTCGGTTTAATTCAATAAGAAGAACTTCCTCGAAACACATGACATTGCTATAGGTACGAAAATGGCGGTGTCATTTGCTAATATTTTCATGGCGTTAATTGAAACGAAATTAATCCAACAAAGCGAAACTAAGCATAGAGAATGGAAATGTTGTGTAGATGACGTTTTGTTTTCTCTCTCTCTCGCTGACCGAGACCTTTTTTAATTTGCGCACTTTGCCTCGTGCCACCGACCAGACGTAAAATATGGTATCAAGAAAGACGAAACAATAACATGGCCTGGAACTAATTCTTCAAAAGAAACATTTGAGGAGGACCTTTGGAAATTTAAACAACGCCTCAAAGCAAGAAGGTACCCAGAAAACATAATAGAATAGTCTCTCTCAGGGGTCAGCTTTGCCTCTAGACAATCGTTTCTTGCACATACACAAAAGCTAAAAGGTCACCAACATTTATTGCGGAGGGGGACAGGGGGGCGGGAGAGGGCAGGAGGCGGGAGAACAGGGGGCGGGAAGCGGGAAGAGAAATAGAGAAAGCGATAGTTTGTTGTTTATTACTTGGTATTATTTAATCAAAAACACTCATCTATGAAAGTTTTGAAATTTCCATTTCATATCCACCAAAGGCCAAAAAATGAACAAGAATGTTAAGTTTTGGCACAGTTTGAAAATTAAACCCGGGTTTTTGATCCTCTTGATTAACCTGAAGATGGGAGCAACACGATGAAGGGTGAGAGTCGGGAGATAAAGGGGCATAAAAGTACGGAAGGTGGGAGAACATGGTACGGAATCGGGAGACTCTGACCCCCCTGTACCCCCCTCCTTCACCAAATTGTCTTTTGTCACAACGTACTACCTGGCAGTTAAAAACTTAAAACAAATACTGATAGAGCATTGGAGTCTAATACGCAATCAGCTCTTGCTGAAAACAGGTTTTCAAAACATCCAATCATCTCTTACAAAAAGGGAGCATCCCTTAAGGACACGCTTGTGAAAGTAAAAACATAATTTGAAGGCGATTATGCGACGCGACTACAAAAGCCACATGGGGAGTCCGTGCCGGTCTCTCTATCCCTTATCAGATTTCAAGAAAGTAAGCAAGATTTGATTGATTCATCTTTGCTTAACAAGCGGGAGACTGGTTCAAATTAAAATGGATGACAAGTCGATTCTAGCACTAACGATTGAGTTTCATCACTAGCGATTGATATTTTAGCACGAACAATTGAGTTTATCACTAGAGATTGATATTTTAGCACTAACAATTGAGTTTGTTACTAGTGATGGATATTTTGGCACAAATGGCTACCCATAGGTTGATTCAATTGTTTTTAATTCCTCTTTTTCAAGGTCGCAACGAAGCCAAGTATACCAACTGATGTTTGGTTCACAAACGATTCCTGTTTTCTGTCACATGGGAAACTTTGGATGTGGGGATGGAGGATGGACGCTGGCCATGAAGATTGCCGGCACGCAGGTTAACTCCCTGTCTCCTTTGCGAAACTCTTGATATTATTGAAATGAACATAAGCAAATCAAAAATGCAATTCTTGTCTTTCAGAGAACTTTCCATTACGATTCCCAATTCTGGAGCAACAGAAATGCCTATAACTTTGCTGGAGGCAAGACTGGCTTTGATTCCCAAGAGACTAAGTTACCAACCTACTGGAACACATCCTTCTCCAAGATCTGCCTTGGTACGAAGATTGATCATCAGCTCAGGTTCATTGTCATCCACAGGCACGCCAACTCACTGTTCTCACTGATCGCTGATGGGAAATACCGTGCCACCTCACTGGGTCGTAACACGTGGAAGTCGCTGGTTGGTCCACGGGCTTCCTTGCAGCTCAACTGCAATAAGGAAGGATTCAATGCAGTGGGAGACAGCCCTAGTTTTTCCAAAGCAAGAATCGGCATCACCGCTAACCAGCAGAATGACTGTTCCTCCTGTAACTCACGAATTGGTTTTGGCACAGGAGGTCGATATGATGATTCCAACACGTGTGGAAATCAGGCAACGCACTCGCCAGATAATGGAAACAAGCACATCAAAGCCATGGGTTACATCCTAGTACAGTGACAGGAAACCCAGCCCAACTTCCCAAATTTTAAGCCGAGAGGCCATCATGAAGAAGAAAATGTAGTGTCCTAAAACCTTAAAGGCTAATAAAGCAACGAGTTCAAGTCAGCTTTGTCTCTAATATAATTTTTTCAATGAAATTCAAAGCATTTCATATGCGCAAAGCTAATTCAGGATTTGTTGACGAAGTAAATATTGGCAAAGAAGCCATATTCGATGTTTATGACAAGTCCACGTCGTTAAGTGTGAGCGAATCAAGGAAGTGTAACACAGAAAAGAAGAAAATGTGACTTCTTTTATGTTCTTTTTGTTTTTTTCTTTCCCGTGCGTATTGTTCTTTACGCTCGCCTCGTGCATCTTTCAGCTCGAGTGAAAAACATGAAAAAGGACGCCAGTTCTACAAAGTAACTAGGAACCCACGGGCGTTAACAATTTTTGTTGTAAATAATTAGCTCAGATATGAGAACTAACAGAATGCAAAAGTAATACCCTCCCGAAGTATTGCTTGCCTTTCTCGCTTTCACCAGAAATGACGGAATTTTTGTGTACCATTTGTTCCAGACGTCATTCTCTAAGTTAAAATACGATACTAATATTAACAAGATGATTATTAGCTCACCATTCGAACGGATTTCATGACAGATATTCTTCGTTAAATTCGAAAAGTTGACCTTAAAGGATCGGTACGATCTCATCTCGTGATGTCACCGGCTTTTCCACTCGAGCTGCGTAAATCGGTCCTATTTGGTTTAAAGTTCAGATAGGAAGAGATAAAATCAGGAATTAATGATCATTTTAAAACACGATGAAGAAGAGTGCCCCACCAAACTATCTTTTTATGTCTTTAGTTACACTTTTAGCTTGCGATTTTTAGATTTTACGATTCTATGGAAACAGAGGTTACACTTACACCACTCTTCGGCTAAACTGTTCATGGGATGGTGTCTCCTCACACCTTTTCAGTTGTCTCTTTTCGCAGACGCAGATGTCTGCTGATACAAAAAAAAAGGGGATCCAAAATTGCAATATTCATCATAGAACTAGCTTGATGAAGTTAGTCATTGGTATCCTTATCCTCGACAGGCCACCAAATTTGGCAATTTCGTGACCTTGTTTCAAAAGGATGGTAACTTTATCTATCAGAACCTATTTGATCCCGTACAACCATTTTTTGCCTTTCTTCAGTCTTTTGGTAGCTACTGCTACCGTACCGAGGCTTAGTATAGCACTTCGTTTTACTGGCAGAACGCTTAGAACAGGATAGTGATACTAGACCGCTACATTATTCTGATCTTTATCTGGATGAACATTCTTATATGCTGTTTGCAGAAAATTCCAAGATCTGTCTGAACTCGGAAAGTTAGTAGCGGGGCGAACTTAGAATGGAGCGAGATCCTCAGATACGCGGAAAGGAGATCATACAAAAAACATTATCACCCCTAAATAAACAGTAATAAACAACTCAGGAAAATCTTAATTATTAAATTTACCCGACATCTCCATAGGAAACGTAAACAGAAAAGTTTGGAGAACATGAGTATATGTGTTTGGGTGCAAAGTGTTAATTAATTCAGAGAACCAGTTTACTTTTTCTTTTGCTATTTTGGTTTAGAAATTTTATCTTCAGGAAAGCTGGATTTGTTTTCCATGTTAGAATGAAAAGTTGAAAATCTCAGAACTTGAGACAACTTTGTTGAAGGGCAAATGCTTGAATCTTAACCCTTTAACTCCTTAGAGTGATTAGCATCTAAATTCTCTTCACGATATCACCCCTGTATCACACATCAAGGTTATGAGAATAAAGAAAATAAACACCAACTAAAGAAGCTCTTGATTGTTAAACAAATTCTCCTTGTCAGCACTTTAGGAAATATATAGAGAACAGTTTGGAGAATATTAATACCGATGTTGGGGTGTAAAAGGTTAATTTCTATCCTGTTTTAAAAGCAACATTCCTTGTCAAAAAAATTAATTCATTATATGCTTCGACGATAAACAAATCGCGGAAGTTGTTTAAAGCATGAAAAGGTACTGGATAGGTTATCGAGCAGCGAGACTCACAAAAGATCTGTTGAACGCTTTGAAAAAATAGACGCTGATGTTATGTTAAACTGATACCCCTGGGGATTGGAATTGAGAATTTCTCTGCCTGTCCCTGATTAACACAGCCTGACTTAACAAAGCAGCTGAAGAGATTCTTTAAGAATCGAAACCGCCGGTCCTGCTAGACGATATACTTCACTTTCAGTTTTACCTGAAAAAGATGTCAGCTTTTGAAACACCATTGCGGTCACCAAAAACGCCAGACTACCGTCCAAATCTGGACAAGGAGATGGAATTAACGTACACTGATCCGAACCTAGAATCGGACCCAGAGGATAGCCCTCCAGCATCACAACTCGAGCCAAGGCATAAAGCTGAATTAGCCAAACAACGCAGCAACGAAGGTCTACGCCTTCAAAAAGGAAAGCAGTCAAAAAGAAAACCTTCCGAGGAATAGCCGATCCACGCGGCAGCCAAGGAAGAGGAAACATGAAGACACCATCAGCGCTATCCAGTTCAATAAGCAAAAAACTGAAACCTCCATTTTAAAACTGGAGAGACACTTACAACAAAAGACTTGCCCTAAGTCGCTTCAATACAACGCGAAGGCAAACGTCACGCCTGACGAAACCTTTCGACAGGAAATAAGCGCTATTAAAAGTCACGCCGAAGAACAATGCGTTAGCGCCCTAGTGCGCTTTCATCAGCGTAGACTTGTTAGTCACAAGAACAAACTTGAAAAGGCTAATATTGCCAAGTCTCGATCACAATACAATTTAAATACACGTGAAAGATCACGTTCGCCCTTGAGGAACACTGTAAATACTGATGCCGACAGGATAGACAAAATAGAAAATCAGCTTTCAGAGCTGAAAGATCTTATATGTACACGCTTTCAGAGTGATAATAAACATGTTGAAAAGTACAACAGTGTCACCTCTGAAAAATCAGTCGCCAAACCCACTGCAGCAAAAAGGCTATCCAAGAATAATAAACGCAAAAAGCGTAGAAAAAATACACTACACAAGCGAGTGACTACAGAAAGGGAGAAAAATGAAAAATACCTTAAAAACCTTTCAGACAATACATTAACTGATCACCAAGTCAGCGTGTTAGCAAAAGGGCTTAAATTTATTGAAACACCCGTGACAAATGAAAATAAGATCAGGCAACAATTGTTGCGTGACTTCGAACAATTCGCTAGGCGAATGAGACTTATATATAATATATATGATATATATTCCACGAGAATGACAAGGAACCACATCCGTTCCACGTCAAATCAAACTGGATACCACCAGTACAACCTTCTATTACCCTTGAACGCTACTTCGAAAATATCAAATTAAGCCTTGCTGAAATAGAAATAACAAAGCCAAAACACAACCTGTCATACAACGAACACAAAGCAGTCAAAGAACTGCAAAACAATACTGCCATCAACCTTAAACGTGCTGACAAAGGCACCACAACAGTGATTCTCAACAAGAGGGACAAAATTCAAGAGGCCCAGGTTCAGCTCGACAACAGAGACCACTACCGACCTCTTGAAAACCCCATGGTCACTGACACATTAAAAAAAGTTAATGAGCTTATTGCTCAACTGCACAATGGCAAACATATAGACGATATGACAAAAAAGTGGCTTTCACAGACTCCCAATCCGCCCAGAATACCGATTTTCTACACTTTAACAAAAATCCACAAACCTTTGCCAGTGGGTAGACCGATTATATCGGGCTGCGAAGGACCAACTGAAAGGATATTATCCTCTGTGGATCATTTATTACAGCCTATTGCTCAAAAGCAAAAATCGTATCTCAAAGATACCACTGATTTCATCAACTTTATAGAGAAAACGCAAGTGTCAAATGATACTATTTTAGTATCAATGGATGTAACAAGCTTGTACACAAACATCCCACAAGAAGAGGGTATCACAATAGTATGCCAAGCATACGAAAAATACCACAATAACAGCCCTCCCATTCCGTCCCACTACTTAAAACAAATGCTCGGGCTTATACTGAAAGAAAATTCGTTCCAGTTCAACGGAGTAAACTATCTCCAATGTTTTGGAACTGCCATGGGAACACGAATGGCGGTTGCTTTCGCCAATCTCTTTATGGCCGAAATTGAAACAAAACTGCTTCACCAAAGCAGTATCAAGCCGAGAGTATGGAAGCGTTACATTGACGACGTTTTCTCCCTGTGGGATGTTCGTAAACAAGACATTGATCTATTCATAGAACAAGCTAACACGTTCCATCCAACTATAAAGTTCACGGCTGAAATCTCAGAGACTGAGATCACATTCTTAGACACGGTTGTCTACAAAGGTGAAAGATTCCAAAACGAAGCTATCCTCGACGTCAAAACTCACTACAAACCGACCGAGACCTTTCAATATACACACTATTCATTTTGCCACCCGCCAGGTGTTAAGAAAGGCTTTATTAAAGGAGAAGCTATCAGACTTCTAAGAACAAACTCCTCGGAAAGAAATTTCCAGGAGGCCATGTGTAACTTCAAAACACGACTTGAAGCACGTGGTTACCCAAAAAGCCTAATTGAAAAAACGTTATCTGAGGTCTCGTTTGCCGCAAGGCAGTCGACACTTAAAAAACAAACCAAAAAAACTACAGGCAAAATATTGCCTGTAGTTTTTTACAGGCAATATTTTTTACAAAATTTAAAACAAATACTGATGCAAGAATGGGACCTCATCCAAAATCAGCCACTGCTGAAAACAATTTACAAAACGCCTCCGATTATATCATACAAAAGAGGTAAATCGCTCAAAGACATACTCGTCAGAGCGAAGCTTTAATTAAAGGCTTTTGCGTCGCAAACGTAAAACCACACAGGGGAGTCTGTGTAGGCCTGTCTGTGACCTTTTCAATCTGTTAAACTGATACCCCTGTATCACACATCAAGGTCATGACAGTATAGGAACTAATCACCAACTAAAGAAGCTCTTGACTGTTAAACATATTCTCCTTGTCAGCACTTTAGGAAATATATAGAGAACAGTATGGACAATATTCTCATGCCGCCACAGAAACAAAACGTTACTGCGTAACAATTCAAGTATCATCTTTAGGCAAATTTATAGAGTATATAAACGATGGTACTAACATTCTTAACAATAAAATCCCCTGATTAGTGCGCAATCACGAAGCAGGCTTGTAGGGATGAAAGTATAGTCTCTCTGTTTTTTTCCACTATCGCAACATATATCGCGCACTACTTCTACGTATCAAGCACTGTGAACGGAAAAATCAATACACAGACTTCCTATATATATATATATATATTTTTTTTTTTCCCTTCTAAATTTCTAAGACTCTTTTCACGCAGACCAATGTTGATAAATTGTTGAAATTTTACGCCTGAAAAAGCATTTGATGGAAGACGTTTTATAAACTACGTGATTCGCATCTTTGAAGTCATGTCAATGGATTTTTGTGACAGCGTGTGTTTTGTGGAACCCGACTGTGTCAGCATTAATCTTGATAAATGAGTGAAGAAAGACAAATAAGAAGGACCATTATTTTGATCATCCAGCTGACATAGGTGTTGCATCATTAGCAAATACTCATTTGTGGAAAAAGTGGAAAAAAGTTTCTGAAATATTCATTACTATTTGTCGTTAAATGCTCCAGGTACTCTAGTTTTCAACAATTTGTTGCAGGGACGAAGACGATTTTGGGCCTAATAAGGGCAAAATTACTCACTCCTATTTCTACCAATGAAGCCAAGTAAAGCATCAGAAGCATTTATATTTTCTGTTTAGCTTCTTGCTAAGAATATGAATACCGATTTTTAGACTTAAACCGCTGTCACGTCCGAACGATTGATTATTAGATGACCCGTCGAGAGGCTTCGTGAAAGTTAATTTGTTTTCATCCAGTGAATTGTTTTCGTGCTGGAACAAGGGTCAAAGATATCAAATTAAAACGAAAAACAGTAAGGAAACACCCAAGTCTCATTGTTAAAAAAAAAAAAAAAAAAAAAAAAGAAATTTTTTACCATAACAAAAACAATTCAAATAAGTTTTTCGCATCAATTTGCGCAGAATTCCAGAAGTCGGTCGCGGAAACCTGGCGATCTACGCGATGAAGAAGTCGATTTTTATCTTTGTTCTGTTACTTTTGTGCTTCATGATACTTGCTTATGTCTCATCACAAGGTGAGCCTCACCATTACTCATTTATGTAGAGAAGAGACATTAGTCCTTCATAGTCACAGTAACCGTTTAACACCTGCATGTTATATGTTTTAAGGAAGTTTTGTTATTCATCTCCACAATAGCAAAAATGTTTAAAGATAGCTTAACACTTTCTTAAACTTCTTAACCAAATAAATCATTGGTGATGAAAAGATACTTTCGCAGATAGTTTGTTTGAGTACCTTTATGTGAATTTAATTGCGAATGGTTTTCTTCTCTCCTTTTTGTTTTGTTGTGGCTTTTTTCTTAATTAATTCTTTCTTTTATCGAGCTCGTCATCCAAGTTGATATATTGTAATATTTCTTACCTCTCTATCACTTCTTTATCAATTTATTATTTTTTTTGTATTTTGTTTTCGAACATGTAAAAAGTTCACACTCGTAAATTTTATTGTCTTCTTAGTCTTTTGTTATGCCACTCAGTCTTCTTATTTGTGTCGGCTGGAGTTGTTTTTGTGTTTATTGCGCTGGTAAAGTTGGATTTTTGCCTCAGTTGTGGTTAAATTTTTCTCCAGTGAATAACTCCCAACGTCAGGGAAGATCAAGAAACTTGCGATTCCTGTTAGATATGTAGCTTTTGAGGAGTAATTTATTCGGAAGAAGAACACGTTTTGCAATAAAGATCTTCTGCAATGACAAGCTCTCTGCAAACGTTCTTTGTTCATTGATCTGCGGGTTCATTCATGGACTTCTTCAACAATTTAGTCCACTATACAAATCAAAACCGGCGAAGTTCGTCGTTACTGAGAAAATTTACTGCTGTTTATTTTTGGGGAATTTTTGAATGGAGAATCTTCTTACTTAATTATGTGCATTTTTGTGGAAATTAATTGCCATCTGCAAGTTTCCTGCGGATGGCAGTACGGATAATTGTCTGTAATTTATCTAGAAAGGTATTCATCTAGATGAAAAAGGGAAGCAAATGGATGGATGAATTGAAATGAATATATTCCAACGGAGAAACTATCAGTAAATCCTCATTTGTTATCATCATTTTGACGTCCCTTATGGCCATCTCTTTTTCTAGTGCTTTCCTTCTTTCATGTTTTTTTTATAAATCTTAAAGGCTTTTGTAACGCAGACCAATGCCGCGTGTTGGAGTTTACCCCTGAAAAAGCATTTGACGGTAAACGTCTCATAAACCACGTCATTCGCATCGTTGAAGTTCTGACAATGAGTTTTTGTGACAACATGTGTTATATGGAACCTGACTGTGTCAGCATTAATGTTCATAAACAAGTGAGCGGTCATGGAGGCTACAAATGTGAACTGAATAATGTTACTCACGAAAGACACGAACACGACCTGGAGAAGAAAGACGATTACTTTTATCATGCAGCTGAGGTAGGTGTTGCATCATTAGCAAATACTCATTTCAAGTGAAAGAAAAAAACAAGTTTCCGGTCTTAATCGTTGCAATTGTTGCTTGATTTCTAATATCACTGTCAATATTTCTATCTTTAGCATTATCATTATTGTTGGTTTAAATGCTGCTCGTTTTCCATTTTATTCATATTTCAATGTATGATATTATTTTCGCTTCAGAGCGCTTGTGTTGATAACCCTTGCGATAACAATTCTACTTGTCAAAGCGGTTTTACTAACAAAGGATATCGCTGTTTGTGTACCACTGGATTCAAAGGTCCAAGGTGTAAGAAAGGTAACTCCTGTCATGTCAAACCGGTCGTAAGCTCGTGTTCACTACAGTTTTATACACAACTTCTAAAGGCACCTGCAAACGTTAAGGTTCGGTTTTTTTTTATAAACTCACACAATAACCATGCAGCTCTTAACTTACCCTTTGCTAAAGAGCTGCTTCAAAATTGCAGGACTATGACGTCGTATCCCACGAAGGTCTCAATTTGTTTTTCACATCTTATTTTCACATCTCCAATGATGACGTTCTAATTAAAGAAAAATATTTTGAGATATCGATTAGTGTGCTACAGGAACACAAGACTGCGGTAAAAATGCTGTTTCCAACAATACCAAAGGTTCCTATAACTGTCCAAATAAACCTGGATATTCTAGAGATGGTTGCAAAGGTAAGCGTGACCAAAGCCCTGATTTTATTTTAACGAACAAGGGAATGGAAACTAAACACACACATTTCAACCCTTAAAATGATTAAATTGGTCATGTGTTTAGGGATTTTCCCTATTGAATCGGTTGCCATGAATTTTACAGATATAAACGAGTGCGCTGATGGAACATCCAAGTGCAGTGCTGACGCTATGTGCAACAATACCGAGGGATCGTATCGCTGCAAATGCAAACCAGGATTTACCGGGAATGGACGGACTTGCAAAGGTAAAACAGAGCCTTGTTTCAGAGTCTAATGATAATTAACTAGATAATGATAAATGTAAATATATGTTGCCTTATTGGTATCATCAAGTAAAGTGGCGGACAATTTTGTATTTTTAAAAGTAACATACTTTATAAACATAGTGAATTTGAAAGACGGACAACTTGTCTTGCTTAATAATCCATACCCAGATGGGATGATGTTACTCTTGCAAGGCTAAGAGAACTGCAGAAAAAATTCAAGACCATTAAGACATCGGATCCAACGTGGGTCTCCATTTGTTGTTTACACTTTATTTTTAAATCTGCATTAGTTTTTTAAAATTAATTGCAGTGATGACGTTCTAATTAAAGTAGAGTCTTTTCAGATATCGACGAGTGTGCTACAGGAAAAACGAACTGCAGTGCTGATGCTGTGTGCAACAATACTAAGGGATCGTACAACTGTACATGCAAACAGGGTTACTATGGAGATGGAAATATCTGCCGTTTGGGTAACAATTCTCCTGTGGTATTTTTTAAGCTGTTTTTCATACTGTTTCTGTCTGTTTAGACTACTGTAATGAGAAGTTCCGTTTATAATAAATATGTATATCGAGATATAGATTTATAGTTAATCGTTAAAAAATTCGACAAATGACTTGTTAGAAACTACCGAGAATTCAAACTAAAAACAAGCTAACTTCTTGATGGACGTGGAAACGTTTGCCTGCATAGATAGTAGTCTTATGGTGTGCATTAGAAGCGTCGAGCGGCTTAATTAAAAACAGCGAGGCCGCGAGGGGCCTGGGATGCTGCTTAAATTAACGGGTCCGCTGCTTTTATTCTCATATATAGCGCATTAGACACCATTGATAATGCAAGCTACGAAAACACGAGTGACCAAGAACGTTGTGTATTTCCTATTCCACACGTAAATTTTCCCTTTGAGAGCATTTCAAAACGCCCTCACATCTTTTTTTCTTAAAGGGTTTATTGCTGTTGATATGCATTTTCCTTTTTTCAGCTTCGACGTGTAAGGAAATTTTCGACCGGAATGGGTAAGTCAATTAATCACAAACAAGAACAAAGCCGCAGAGGAATTTAATGAGAGAATATGAAAATAACAGTATTACTGAAAATAATAATTTTAAAAATAATATTGCGGCAAGCATGACAACCTTGATGATAAACATCCACATTAGCTGCCTACTTTTTATTTTTTTTCGACTTCCTCTTTTTCCATAAGGTCGAGACGAAGCCAAGTATACCCGCTGATGTTTGGTTCACAAAAGATCCCGGTTTACTGTCACATGGGAAACTTCGGATGCGGGAATGGAGGATGGACGCCGGCCATGAAGATTGACGGCACGAAGGTAAACTCCCTGCCTCCTTAAAGAAACTCTCGATATCACTGAAATTAACAAAGGCAAATTAAAAATGCAATTCTTGTTTTCAGAGAACTTTCCATTACGATTCCCACTTCTGGAGAAACAGAAATGCCTATAACTTTGCTGGAGCCAAGACTGGCTTTGACTTACAAGAGACCAAGTTACCGACTTACTGGAACACACCCTTCTCCAAGATCTGCCTTGGTATGAAGATTGGTCATCAGCTCAGGTTTATTGCCATCAACAGGCAAGCCAACTCACTGTACTTATTGATCGCTGATGGAAAATACCGCGCCACCTCATTGGGTCAAAACACGTGGAAAACGCTTATTGGTTCGCTGGCCTCCTTGCAGCATAACTGCAACAAAGAAGGGTTCAATGCTATGGGTAGTGCTAATGGCTCTTCCAGAGCAAGGATTGGTTTCCTTGGGAATAATGAGGGAGACTGCATAACCCCTGATTCTAGAATTGGTTTTGGTACAGGAGGATACCATGATGACAACAACACGTGTGGAAACGAGGCAATAAACCACACATCGTCAGATAATGGAGGCAAACACATCAAAGCCATGGGATACATCTTGGTGCAGTGACAAGGGAGACAATGAACTGTCCCTGAGCTGATGGACCTCGAGCCACACCCATAGAGACCTTAAAAAAGTATATGTAGCTTAAGGGGTAAGAACTAATAAAACACTTAGTTCAAACTGATGCAGTATTTTTTGTTGAAGATGTTATCAAAGGTGATTTCCAGTTTCTAATTTCAGATCAAAGTTGTCTTTTTGTGAGTTTTCACCTGAAGAGCGTAATTCAATTGAATTACTCAAAACCAATTTTAATTTTATAGCGAAGAGAGAAGATAAAAGTGGAAAAGCTAAGGACTAGGACGTATCCACTGTGAATGATATCAGTACTGGTCAGAGATGACCGCAAAAAACCACTCAAAACATAGCTTAAGTCTTCTGCATATATTTATACTACTAAGTGGAAGCGAAGAGCGAGAATCTGTTTTGTTAGTGTACAGTTAACTTTCCTTCTTACGCGGTCGATACAATTTTTACGGGGACCTATGACGCCTTTTCATAACGTTCGCGGATATGTGTTTCCGTCACTAAAACCAAGAGATCTTACACCGAGAATGTCTCTCTTAAGTTACCAATACCGAAAAGGTCTGATTATCCGACACCTTTTCTTTGTTTCTTTTCGCTGATGTGAGCTGAAATGAAAGAAACGCGTCCTATCTATCTTTTGATTATTTTATTTCTTTGGTACTTTTGGATTATATCAATGGAAAGCAGGTTACTCTCCCTCTTTATTCATCAGCCACACAGGCTGGCTAGGGTGGGCTGACACCAAAGAGACTTGAATAACTCAAACGAAACCAGGGTGACGAGTGATGGAGTCGTTTTAGGCAGTTTTGGCATGTTTCTTTAAATAAAAGCCAAGTACAGCAACAGTAGCATTCATATTCTCCGTTTCAGATTTCTTGTTAAGAAAACAAAAAAAGCAATTTTCAAACTGTAACCACTGTTATGTCAGTATGATTAATCATCCAGAAACTTAGTAAGATAAGCAATCTTTTTTCTCCCAATGAATCGAATACCTGCTGGCAAAATGACGAAATATATCAAATTAAAACAAGGAATGATAAGATTACCGTCACGTTTGCTGTGCAAGTTTGTCACATGATGTAAATCTATAGACTGATAGGGTAAAAGTCTCGGAACTATTCATATAGAGCTGTAAGAAGAGGTGCCAGTTGATCTAGTTTTCAGCAAGTTTATTTTGAGGCGAGGGACAATTTTGGGCCTAATAAGGGCAAAATAGTTTACGGCATATTTCTGCAAATTCAAGCCAAAAACAGCAGCAGTGTAGCATTCATTTTTCCTTTAAGTTTGTTGCTAAGAATGCGGAAATCGATTTTCAAACTTTAACCGCTGTCAGTGATAGCAATCATCGACAAACTTAGTAAAGCAAGACAAATAATCCTATTTCTCCCAATGAATTGAATACCTGTTGGCAAAATGACTAAAGATATCAAATTAAAACAAAGAACGATAAGGTAACATCCAGGTCTCATTGGTTAGAAGAAAGTCAGGAAGTTTTTACCATAAAGAGAAAATTAAATAAGACTTGTTGGAGTAATTTGCGCATATTTTTTTAAAAGTTGGCCTCAGAAAGTGATCTGCCACATGAAGAATTTGTTGCTTTAAATGCTGCTCTTTTTTTTTATTTTGTTAATAGTTCAACGTAGGATATCAACGAACAAACGGCTTCATTGCCAATTAAGAAGCGATTGCAACACTTGTGACTCTAGTGGTGGCTTTGGTACAGTTTTTTATAGGACGACACAAGGAAGACTCCAACACGTGTGGCAAAAAAAGTTACGTATGCGACATGATAATGGAAACAAACTCATGAAAGCCTTAAAAAAAAATAAAAAATAAATAAAAATAAGATAAAAAAAAAGAAAGATGTAAATGAAAGGTAGCGGGTAGTTGGAAATTTGCACTAAGAACGACTAAGCCTAGGACGCAATTGTTCACTGGCCAGACGGAATTTAAAATATCATATCTTAGTTATTGGATGTACATTTAGGCCTCAAAGTAAGTTATAGTCAGTGGATAGAAAAAAGAATCGATTGTTTAGTTTATAGATAAATATTCAACTAATATTTTGAACTTAATAGTTTGATGATCTCGATCTTGATCAACGCTAACCTCATATTATCGTACTTTTCGTCATGCCAGTTTGTCATGGGATGTAGACCTGTATAATGATAATAAAAGTTTCTGAAATATTCATAACGATTTGTCGTTAAATGCGCCAGGTACTCTAGTTTTCAGCAATTTATTTCAGGAAGGAGGACGATTTTGGGCCCAATAGGGGCAAAATCGCTCACACCTATTTTTACCAATGAAAGCCAAGTTAAGCATCAGAAGATTTATAGTTTCTATTTAGTTTCGTGCCAAGAATATGGAAACCGATTTTTAGACTTTTACCACTGTCACGTCCGTACGATTGATTATTAAGTGACTCATCAAGAGGCTTTGTGAAAGTTAATTTATTTTCATCCAAGAATCGTTTTCGTGCTGGAACAAGGGCTAAAAATATCAGATGAAAACGAAGAGCAATAAGAAAACACCAAGGTCCCATTGGTTCAAAGAAAAAGAAAGCTCTTACCATAAAAAATAATAATAATAATAATAATAATAATAATAATAAAAAGAGATATTTTGTATTAATTTGCACATAATTCGAGAAGTCGCTCGCAGAAACTTGCCGATTCGCGCGATGTAGGAGTCAATTTTTATCTTTGTTCTATTACTTTTGAGCTTCATGATAATTGCTTACGTCTCATCACAAGGTTAGTCTCGCCATTACTAATTTTTTAGCGGGAATAGAGAAGGGACATTAGCCCTTCACAATTATAGTTACCGTTTAACACCTGCATGTTTTATGTTTAAAGGAGGTTTGTATGAGTAATTTTATGTGAATTTAATTGCGAATGGTTCTCATTTTTGTTTTGTTGTTGTTTTTTTTTTTCTTAATTTTTTCTCTTATACCGGGCTCGTCATCCAAGTTCATATAGTGAAATATTTTTTACCTCTCTATCACCTTTTTACTCATTTTTTGTATTTTGTATTCGAACATGTGAAAAGTTTACACTCGTAAATTATATTGTCTTCTTAGTCTTCTTTTGTTATGCCGCTCTTCATATTTGTGTCGGCTGGAGTGGTTTTTGTGTTTATTGCGCCGGTACAGTTAGATTTTTCCCTCAGTTGTGGTTAACTTTTTTTTTCCAGCAAATAACTCCCAACGTCAGGGAATATCGCCAAATTTGCGATTCCTGCTAGATATGTAGCTTTTGAGAAGTAATTTAATCGGAAGAAGAAGACGTTTGGGAAAAAGATCTTCTGCATTGACGGGCTCTTTCCAAAAGTTCTTTGTTCATTGATGTGGTTCATTCATGGATTTCTTCAACGATTCAGTCTACTTTACATATTAAAACCTGGGAACTTCGTTTTTACTGAGAACATTTACTTCTTGTATTTTTGGGGAATTTTCGAATATGTGCATCTTTTGTGGAAATTAATGGCCATCTGCAAGTTTCCTGCAGATGGCAGTACGGATAATAGTCTGTTATTTATGTAGAAATGTATTAATTTGCAAGTTGAGATGGAAGAGAAAAAGGGAACCAAATGGATGGATGACTTGAAATAAATATATTCCGACGGGGAAACTCTCAATATATGCTTAACCTCATTACTGAACCTAAACATTACAATTATTACTATTATTTTTGTTATCGTCATCTTCGCGTCTCTTATCGCTGTCTCTTTTACCAGTGTTTTCCTTTTTTAATATTTTTTTATAAATTTCAAATACTTCTCTGACGCAGACCAATGCCGAAAGTTGGAGTTTACCCCTGAAAAAGCATTTGATGGAAGACGTCTCATAAATCACGTCATTCGCATTGTTAAAGTTCTGACAGTGAGTTTTTGTGACAAGATGTGTTATATGGAACCTGACTGTGTCAGCATTAATCTTTATAAACGAGTAAGTGAACATGGAGGGTACAAATGTGAATTGAATAATGTTACTCACGAAAAACACGAGGGCGACCTGGAGAAGAAAGACGATTATTTTTATCATGCAGCTGAGGTAGGTGTTGCATCATTTGTAAGTACTCATTTCAGGTAAAAACAAAAAAAACAAAACAAAAAACAAAAAAATTCTCGGTCAGAAGCGTTGCAATTGTTGCTTTAATTCTAATGTGACTGTCAATATTTCTATCTCTAGCATCATCATTATTGTCCTTTTATTCCCGCTCGTTTTCCATTTTATTAATGTTTCAACGTATAAAATTATTTTCGCTTCAGAGCGCTTGTGCTGATAACCCTTGCAATAACAATGCTACTTGCCAAAGCGGTTTTACTGAAAAAGGATTTCGCTGTTTGTGTACCACTGAATTCAAAGGTCTAAGGTGTAAGGAAGGTAACACCACTCATGTCAAACCGGTCGTAAGCTCGTGTCGACTACAGTTTTATACACAACCTCTAAAGGCACCTGTAAAAGTTTAGGTCCGTTTCATTACAAACTCACACAATAACCAGCTCTTAACTGACTCTGCGCTGGAGAGTTGCTCCAAAAGTTCAAGACTGTCATGTCGGATCCCACGTAGGGCTCATTTTGTTTTTTCACATCTTATCTTCACATCTGCAAAAATTACGTTCTAATTGAGGAAGAGTCTTTACAGATATCGACAAATGTGCTGCAGTGAAAATGCTGTTTGTAACAATACCAAAGGTTCCCATAACTGTTCATGTAAACCTGGATATTCTGGAGATGGACGGACTTGCGAAGGTAAACGTAACCAAAGCCCTGATTTTATTTAACAAACAAGGGAATGGAAACTAAAAAACGATAAAATTGGTCATGTATTTTGGTTTTTTCCCTATTGAATCGGTTACCATGAATTTACAGATGTAAACGAGTGCGCTGACGGAACATCCAACTGCAGTGCTGATGCTATGTGCAACAATACCAAGGGATCGTATCGCTGCAAATGCAAACCAGGATTTACTGAAGA